GATTGGGTACATAGGTATGTTTGAAATCCTTCAATAAAACAGACACCCAACAAAACAAAAATAAATAGAGGTTACCGATTGGGTACATGTACATGGGGGTGGCTTACAGTGTTAACATGAAAATAGACCTTTCCGATTTCACTGGACTTGTCATGTTGAAAGAATAAAAGAATCAAGTTCAGTCTCAACTTTAGTCTACCATACCCATTTCTTACCTCTTTATATTTTTCTAAGTTTGCTGAGAGATTTGCATTGTTTTTCTCAAGTTCAACAATCTTCTGTCGGACTGCCTGCAGTCTACCAGTGAGTTCACTATTCTCACCTATAAATCAATGATAAGCATTAATCATTAATAGTGTCATTAATAGATAATATCATTCGTAATAAGTGAATTACTATTGTCACCTATGAGTTAATAATAATCATTAACTGTTGATAAATAATTTAAATTACGTATTCTCAATAATTTAGTACTTACTTTCTTTGTTCACACATTTTCTCTGTAGTTGGGACAAGGAACTTTGTAACTCTTGTTTTTCACTAACAAGAATACCAATTGTTTGTATATGAACCTACGAACGTAAATTAAACAATCAGCAATGCAGCTTTTGTACAGCAGTGGCAAGCCTGTGTCACATCCAGAATTTTCTTCGTAAATACTTATTCGAAAGAAAAGGCCGGATGGAATGCTGGCTAAGAAGTGGCCAGAGCTGACAATGATTGGTGATGATAAAGATTTTATGTTGATCATTGATGAAGTTGTTGGTTAAGGATAATGACGATGATGGTGATGAAGTAACTCTATTCAACCGAAGTTACGTGAATTATTTCAGAGAGTTTTTCTAAGTAATTTAAAAAGCTTGCTGATCCTGTGTTATCAGGTTTAAAAAAACTTAGCTATACATGTACCTCATGCTTTTATGCCTGTTAAAACACTCCTGCTCACTTCCTTAACACTACAAAGATGACAAATGTATATACTATATGAAGCTGTACACTTGTTTGTGGCTGTAACTTATCGTTTAACAAGCAAACAGCTGTTTTCAAAAAGTTAATTTTGTTTCACAAGACCAACAAAAATACTTGACCATAAGTGTAGTAACATAAAATGTAATAAAACAGTACCAATAAAACAGAGTGTTTTGAAGATACACCATACCTCTAGTTGTTCCTTTAATGATCTTTGTTCTAATAACTGTCTGTTTGCTAGCTCTGTTCTTTCCTGAAAATGTTGCAACCAAAATTATAATAGTTTAAACCTAATGTAGTCACAATTTTATCTACAGCTGTATACATGTAGTGCGCCCCCATGCACGTACAGTACTGCTGAAAAGAGTTTGACTACTGGGAAGGTGGGTGGGGGGGGGGGGGAGGAGGAAGGGGGGGGGGGGGGTATAGTGCCTTGATTGGGACAAATTGCTCACGACTAAAATAAGTACTCACTCTTTTGATTTGGTCTTGAAATTGAAGTATTTGTTTTCTCTAGAAATGAAAAATACAATTATGAGTTAAAATTTTGACAGTTAGACACATTGCTCAAGGTCACAACAAAATGGACAGGGTCATGCAAATAATTATTGATATTACTTCTACAAATAACAAATGGCACAATCATAATCCCAGGGGGTGTACTTGGGTGGGTAACATGACGGGGAGGTCCGACATATTTTTTTGGGCTGACAATTTTCGTTCCCAGTTTTTTTTTGGGTCAAGAGACCAGCCACGTATTTTTTTGGGTCTCGAAATGAAACCCGTATTTTTTTGGGTCCTCACATCCCCGAGTTCGATTTTTGTATCAGAAAATTATGTTTGATTTTATTTCAGCAAGGCGTGAGTGAGTTCCGTAAACTGAATTCAATAAATCACTTTTGAAGTATTTAAGTCTTGTGTTTTTTAGGGTCAGAAATTTGGATGCCATGTATTTTTTTGGGTGTAAAATTTCAGGTTTGAGTATTTTTTTGGGGTTGCAATAGGAAATCCCGTCGGACCCCCCTGTCATGTTACCCACCTGAGTACACCCCCTGGGATCATAATGCAGGTACTGATAAACACTCATTTAGTTGAATACCTGTTCATTGACTTGATTGTTAAGCTGTTCATTTGTTCTCTTGTAAGACTGCAAGGTTTCTTCAAGTTCATGATTATGGGCCTACAGTAAACATGTATTTATAATATGATAAGAAAAGTATTTAAAATATGTATATTATATATGTAAACAATACAGTTCCTGGTAAATTGGGACACTGTCAAAGCCAAGACAGTTCTATATATGATTAGATCTTACATGTAGATCATACTGTTGATTCTATATTGTAATGACTGGGCTTCCTCTTGTAGGGTAACCACAGGGATCCAAATCATTTAAATCTCTAATAACTAACCTCTAGAGCTTCTATTTCATTTATCACTGGATCTTCACCATTTGTCAGGAAATCCTACAAGAAAATAATCACAAATTTATTCAAAATCCCACAGTATCCCAATATTCTCATTAGAACCCTTGGTTGAGGGAGGGAGGGGGTATACATCAAGGGACAGAGCAGGATACTTTATTTTACAAGGGTAAAAAACATCAGCTATGTTATATATGAACATAAGTTAGTTAAAATTTAAAATTGTTTTACATGTTTACTGTGTGGGGAGTGAATGAATAAATGGATGGGTGGGTGGATGGATGGATGGACGGATGGATGAATGCTCCTGCTTGTAACAGATTGATTATTGCTTCAACCATGCATTGGGATGGTCAGCATTGTTCTTTGGTTTTCTTGAAATTATATTTATATTGGACTACAGATGGAGCTCCTTTTTTTCCAGGAAAGAAGTAAAGCCATGGAAAGTCATCATTATGGCATTCATAAATGACTGACCTTTACCATAAAACTGTGAAACGTAGTCAGTTCTTATAAGGCTAATGTGGGAACATGCAGAATGAAATTTTCATTCATACTGTACCTGATTTGTAAGTCCATTCAGCTGGTTACACTAAGAAAAAGAAAAGAAAAGGATATGTAATCAAATTAAGTAATGGTAGGTCTGATACCTTTGGTGGTGATGGTGGTTAGGAAAATGTTGATGATGGTGATGATTGTGATGATGATGATCACAATGGTTGTGGTGCAAGTGATGATAATGAAGGTGCTTATATGATGATGATGGTAGTGGTGATGATAAAGATGGTGACAGATAATAATGAAGGTGGTGGTGATGATGATGATGATGGTGGTGGTGATGATAAAGATGGTGACAGATAATAATGAAGGTGGTGGTGATGATGATGATGGTGGTGGTGATAAAGATGGTGACAGATAATAATGAAGGTGGGGATGATGATGATGGTGGTGGTGATGAAGATGGTGACAGTGATAATGATGTTGATGAAGAAGATGGTGATGTCGTGATATCTATCCTAGAGATATGAACTACTGTATGTTGCTTATTAGTTTGTTATTTTACATTATTCTTCGACAAAAATAAACTATTTACATATTAAAACAATATTGTAAAGACACTCACTATCTACTGTATAACTAAAAAAAAGAAAATTAATATTTCAATCAACTTACAATTTGGCGAATCTTTTCTGCTGTGGATCCATTACTGAAAAAAATACAATAGACAATGTAGATTGTCTTCAGCATTCTCTGATCTAAGACCCTTAATAAAACTCGTGATCCATCTGAAAGCAGACTATAAATAAAGCTTTGAACCTTACCGTCCATTGGATACAGGTGCTATTCTATCAACATGGTTTTCTGATATCACAGGAGGAAAGGTCTTTTCCTTTGGACTGGAATTATCTTTAATTTGTAAAGAACTGAAAGCAAGAGAAAGGACATGTACACATATCAAATAAATGAAAAGTGGTTACAGAAGAATGATCTATTTTCAAAGCACAACTTTTTTCTTGTTGATTTTCCATGTTTAGTAATTTTTTTCTTTTTTAAAGTCTTTCTTTACACATTATACAGTGTATACTGTAGCTATTTCAAAAAAATAGTCGAAGGTCCAAATGGCGATAATTGCTGATTGCATGACCAAAAGGAAGTGTGGGCATACTGTACTGTACATCTAAGCACAAATAGAGCGAAGTGCATGCAGTAAGGGACAGACCATTAGATTTTTGAGAAGGGGGGGGGGGGGGGGTTGGGCAAAAACCAAAAATAAATTTGAGCACAGCTTTAGAGTGAAAAAAAATGTGCATAAGAATAGGGCCAGAAAAAAATTCCAAATTATCCCAAAAAAATTGCTGCACAGCCGTGAGCCATGAAAAAATTTCCTGCACAAAATAAATTGCCTAACCCTCCCCCCCAAAAAAAATCTAATGGTCCTTCGCTAAAACCATGAAATATTAAAAACAAAGACAATACTGACAAATACAGGAGTACTATTAATTTAGTGACTGATAGCTACCATCATTCAACCAGAACATTTAATACACAAAAGACACAATATTGGTCTCTTGTGTATTTTTCTTTGTGTAATGAATGTGTAATCAGCTTTGTTTTTATTTCATGGTTTTACTGCATGCACTCTATAATAGAGGTGTTTTAAATGATTTTGTTGAATACAATTATAGTCGAATGAATAAATGAGAGAAAGGAAGGAAGGAAAGAAAACAGAGGAACGAAAAAGAGAAAGAAAAGGAAATTAATAAAGAGAAAATCAAGATATAGCTACAATAAAAGATAGAACGAATGAAGGAATGAATAATTTCAAGAAGGAAAAAATATTTTCCAAATGAGTACTCACTCCTCCAAAACTGTTTTTGTTGGGTTAGAGGATCCATTCAAATTTGATTCATCCTAAAAAAAATACAAACAAATGTAGAATATAAGAAACAAATTCTTTTGTTCACATTTTATCTATTTAATGATATAATACTAGTACTATCTATGCATTACCATGGCAACCAACACCCAATCATAGCAGTCCCTGAACAAAGCCATTACTAAATGCTCAGGTAACTAACTTATTGCTTAGCAACGGAATTTACTATTTAAAAAATTATCTATCTTGTTACAGTACAGATTAGACACGGCAAAATATGGAAATTTGTAGATTTTATTTGTACAGTTCATCCATCTTTTCAACATAGAACAAAATTATATTTGGTTACTCAATTTTAGTATTTAATCATGTTTTGCTGTTTTTAAGCACTTGTACAGAAATAATTAGGCATTGCATGATGCCAAGCTTTTATACAGGACTTTATCCATATGAAAATTGTACATCATAACTTCAAGTGAGTAAAGTAGAGTCACCACTTAAAGGTATTACCCTGTATAGGGTTCTCCAGTATTCTTCCCTGCAAAACTCAACAAGTTAAATTCAAATTTGATCCGTATGTACCCACACCCAGACGTTTTTAGGAATTGATAAAAAATTGTGGTGCATGTAGTAAACACCATAAACAAATAATAGCATGGCAGGGCTTAAAATAATGGCTCAATATTGGACAATGTCCGGCCAGAACTGGGGCTAACGTCCGGTCAAATCTTTGCCTCGGTGCTGGTCATTCTAACCAGTAACGTTGAGCCAGAAATGAGGCAAGACCCAGCTAAAACTAATATTTAGTCTGTGATCATGACTGGCATCTGATTGGTTGTTATTTAGCAGAAATACCACTTGTGATATCTTGCTCACACAGCTATTGAAATAAAACTGATGGTATTTGAAACGTCATCTTTTCACGGTGTATAATTTACCCTAATATTACCTATAAATATCCACTAATCATAGACAATTAAAACTTATTTTAAAACATATCAAATGAGCTTGAAAATTTGGGCATAAAATGAATAATGATAAAAAAAATTTAAATCTGATGATTATGTTTACAAGGGAATCAAGTGCAAAATCACTTCTCTATGAAGCATCTGACTACAACTAAAACATTATACGATCGATTGACTTGGTGCATTTAACAAATAGCTAAGAAATATCAAGATTGATTCAAAATGGTTTACAATGTTCTCAGCCAACCAGAATTCGCCAAATATTATTTCATTTTAAACTGTAAATAAACCTTTTTTTAACAGGTTGATATTCTCAAGACTTTACTTCTCATAGTAAAATTCTTAAAACTAAGAACCTTTATAAATTCTGTTCTCAGATTAAAAGATTTACGATATTTCAAATAATTGTAAAGTTTCGTAATGTTGTGATTTTGAAACGTGGAAGATGTACAGCTCGTCTTAGTTGAAACCATGAATTTAAGGCTTTCTTTAAGAGCGATTGATTAATTCTCGCAAGACAAGTGTTGGACCACTTACCGGTGTATTTTCATGTCCTGTAGGAACCTCAGCACTGGAATCGGAACCCGTAAAACTCAAATTCGTAGGTAAAACATCAGTGTTTTTATGAGTCTTCTTCAAGGCTGAACTCGAAGATGGCGTCCGTTTTTGTTGAAATTTTTTCAGCTTTGAAACAAAAAACAACAAAATTAACAAAACAGAGCAAAAGAAGGATAGCTAAAGAAATTATCCAAATGTAAAGATAGTGGATTCGTACCCGTTTTCTGGCAGCAGCCAGCTTTTCTTCTCGTTCACTATCAGCCATTTTGGAGCGACATTTTGGTTTTGCCAACAAAGCTGAATAAATTAGCAGCCTCACTTCCATGCAGTCAGCTGATTGGGACTCAGGCTACCCTATGACTTTTATCCACTCGGTTAATATTATACACAGGGAGTTTTAGACATTTAAAGCCAAGAAGAAAAAGTTTCTAAAAAAGCTAAACTTTCATAAAATGATTAAATTGTCATTAACTTACGGAATCCTATTCAATCTGTGATATAGCAGTCACTCACTTTGATCAGCCCAGGGGTTCGATGCTTTTATTGTAGATCAGCCCAGAGGTTGTTTAAGGGTTTAATCCAGACTCGTACCTAGTCGTCATTTGTTTCACGCTTTATGGGAACTCACTAAATCCTTCCCATCCATCCCATCAACCACAGCCTGAGATCAACAAGACAAGAGAAGCGACAGGGTACGAGTCTGGGTTTAATCTGTAAGTTAGCCGTGCCCTTACTTAGATCAACCCAGAGGTTGTTTTAGGGTTCACTCTGTGAGTTGGGAGAGGGTGGGGGCTGGCATTTTAAAATTACAAAACTTCTCAATCAAATTTCGGGGGTGGGGAAACGTTTTTTAT